AACGCCGCGCTTCATGCGTCCAATTATAGCAGCCATAACCGACATGCTGTGGTAATGGGCGGCAAGGCCCACCATAGGCCCAAGGTCCACTGAACAGAGGCCCACCCAAGGGAGGAAATTTTCCCCAAAAGCACCAACCCTTTGCCCCTAAGGCCCCAAACTTCAAGAACAAGGGAAAAACTACCGTTCAATTGGATTCCACTGAAATAGACATATGATATCGCTATGGATCAAAGGATCATTGGTCATGCGTATGCCGAGCTAACCCCGAGGCTATTACTAAGTATCAGTCCCATCATGAGACTAACTTTGTGCATGTGGAACATCCCAAATATGCTGCTACAACTCTGGAGGTTTCTGATTTTAAGAAGGCATCCGCTCCTATGGAATAATAAAGTTTTATTTTTCTAAGACATGTAAGGGTATTTTTACACCCCTAGTGGCTGAACCCACTAGGAGTGGCCGAACACCTACTAAATTTTAGGTTTATGGTTTAATTTTTGGACAATTTTTCTAAGTATTTGGAATTATTTGTTTGGTTTTGGTTTGTTTTGAATTATGGATATTACTTATCGAATTGATTAATTGAATTAATGGAATTATATTTATGCATGTGACCTATTCAATTAATTTATTTCTAGGTATGACTAGTGGAGAAGTTAGTTGTCTGGCTGATAGTGCAACCATGCACACCATATTGCGTGAGAAACATTATTTTACTAACTTCGTACCTAAGAATGCACCTTTGACAACCCTCTCAGGCTTATTGAACCTGATAGAAGGATACGGAAAGGCTCGTATTATGTTGTCCAAGGGTACTGAATTAACCATTAAAGAGGCACTCTATTATCCACGTTCCGAAAAAATGTCACTGACCTTTAGAGATATTCGAGATAATCAATATCATGTTGAAACCACTGAAAAGAATGGTTTTGAATTTATTTGTATCACTTCTTACAAATATGGTCAGAAGCGTATTCAGGAGAAGCTGGAACGTCTCCTGAGTGGGTTGTACATAACAACCATTCAAGCCTTTGAGACACACCACATGGCCGACCCTATGGCTAGGTTCCAGGACACTCTCCTGTTTTGGCATGATCGAATGGAACACCCTGGACGCGACATGATGCGCCGAATCCTCAAAGTATCACATGGGCATCTCTTGAAATCTTATCATGACCATCCGCTTTGCAAAGCATGCTCCCTGGGGAAGTTGAACATTCAACCCTCAATTACAAAGATTATTCACGACCCCCTTAAGTTTCTTTAGAGGATTTAAGGGGATATTTGTGGACCTATCCAACCAACATGCAGACCATTTAGATACTTTATGGTGTTGGTTGATGCATCAATGCGATTATCACATGTCTGCTTATTGTCCACACGCAACGCTGAGTTTGCGAAACTCTTGACACAAATTATTAAGCTTAAGGTTCACCACCCTGATTATCACTATCAAGTCGATTCGACTAGATAATGTTGGAGAGTTTACGTCATAGGCTTTTGATGATTATTGCATGTCTGTTGGGATTGATGTTGAACATCATCTACCCTATGTTCACACCCAAAACGGTCTGACAGAAGCTTTCATAGAGCATTTTCAAACGATAGCTCGAACTTTGGTTATGCGAACCAATTTGCTGGTATCTGCTTGGGGTCATGCAATCTTGCACACAGCTATGTTGGTCCGCCTAAGGCCCAGCACTACCCAACCTCATTCACCGTTACAGTTGGTTCTCACATTTACATGTGTTTGGGTGTGCAGTCTATGTGCCAATAACGCAGCCATTACGTACCAAAATGGGTCCTTAGAGAAAAATAGGAATCTATGTCAGTTATGATTCGCCATCAATTATTCATTACTTAGAGCCCTTGACAAGAGATCTCTTTACCGTACGTTTTGCAGATTGTCACTTCAATGAGACAGTCTTCATGTCATTAGGAAGATAAGATCACTAACGTTCATGTAGAACATCGCAAATTGTCGTGGATTACTCCCACTATGTCTCATTTAGATCCCCGCACTCCTCAATCTGAAACTAAAGTGCGACATATTTTTTATCTTCAGAGCATTGCTCAAAACATGCCAGATGCTTTTATTAATCTAGCAAAGGTGATGAGATCACATATACCCACTGCAAACACACCTACAAGGATCGACGTACTTAACGTACGTTGTAACACCACCTTGGAAGGCCAGACCGTCCCCAAGGGTGGGGTGGCCGTACCTCCTACACGGCAAAGTATACTAGTGGCTAGCCAATTATCTACTCCTACCCTGAAGCATGGCAGGCCTCCTAGTCCAAAGGATTCATAACTCCGGAAGAGGAAAACAGCACAAACTAGTCACCCTAGTCTGAATCTGACCATTGCTTACTCATATGTTCCAACGCATGAGGTTATTCTAGATTATGGTGATGTCTTAGACAAGACAACCTTGCCTCTTGAGAATCGTGAGATTCCGGTCCATTACACAGTATTGGATGAGGTTTGGAATCGGAACGAGATAATTGTCGATAATGCATTCGTGTATACAGTTGCTTCTGACATCATACTTAACGATTTGAACCATGTTTTGTTGATGAATGTCTTAGTCAAACTGGAAACAAGAAATCTAGGTCGAACTCGATTCGTTTACGAACCGCAAGGTGTTTAGGCCCATAGCTCCTACTTCACCACAATGTGAAGCTCGTGGGCTATAAATGGGTTTTCATGAAGAAACGTAATGAAAAGAATGAAATAGTGCAATACAAGCATGCCTCGTCGCTCAAGGTTTCTCTCAACGCCCTGGGATAGATTACGAGAAGACGTATTCCCCCCATAATAGATGCCATAACGTTCCGCTACCTTATCAATTTGGTAGTTTCCGAAAAACTGAATAGGCAGCTTATGGATGTGGTAATCGCGTATCTCTATAGAGATCTAGATACACAAATTTACATGAAAGTTCCAGAAGGACTTCCATCAACTGGTTCAAATAATTATAGACCACTGAACACCCTCTCAATTAGATTGAGGAGATCACTCTACGGATTGAAACAATCTGGGCGGATGTGGCATAACCGTCTGAGTGAATATTTGACAAGTCAGGGTTATGTGAACAACAAACTATGCCCATGCGTGTTCATTAAGAAGTCACATTCCGGATTTACGAACATTGCAATTTATGTCAACGACATGAACCTCAACGGAACTCCCGCAGAGCTTGAGGAAATTACCGTTCACTTGAAATTGGAATTTGAGATGAAAGATCTTGGGAAAACTCAGTATTGTCTCAGACTGGAGATCAAGCATTATTCAGATAGAATCTTAGTACATCAACGAACTACACCCAGAAGGTGATGCAACGTTTCAATGAGGATAAAGCGAAGCCTTCGAGTACTTCTATGGTCGTTCGGACTCTAGATGCTAAACGAGATCCCTTTTGTCCTAAGGAGGATGATGAAGAGATTTTGGAGCCTGAAGTTCCATACCTAAGTGCAATTGGTGCTTTATTGTACTTGGCTCAATGCACTAGACCCGACATCTCCTTTGCTGTTAATCTTTTGGCTAGATACAACAACGAGCCTACACGTGGACACTAAAATAGTGTTAAAGACACACACAAACACTGGAATGATGTTAAAGACATTTTTCGCTACCTTAAGGGTACGACGGATTTGGGCTTGTTCTACACTCATGAATCCTCGAGAGAAGCCGCCGCCCCCTGGGTCCTTGGGTTGATTCTCGCCTCATTGGTTACACAGATGCTGGTTATCTGTCTAACCCATATAAGGCACGTTCTCAAACGGGTTATGTCTTTACTGTTGGAGACACTGTTATATCTTGGAGGTCTACCAAGTAAATGCTAATTGCAACTTCTTCAAACCATGTTGAGATTCTCGTCCTACATGAAGCATCGCGTGAGTACTTTTGGTTGAGAGCAATCATGGAACATATTCGAAGCTTTGAAGACAATGCAACATGTATCAAGCAGTTAAAGAAAGGATACATCAAGGGAGACAACACCAAGCACATAGCACATAAGTTTTTTTATTCTCACCAGCAACAACAACATCAAAACATTTCCTACGATTAAGAGCATTTTTCCCACTAGGTTTTTGCTATCTAACGAGGTTTTGATGAAGCACGCATCCTAGGATGATCATACTCCGTTGAGTTCACTACTTTTGTCCTGTTTGATGTTTGTTTTAGACATTTTGCATACTTCTCACTTTTCTCGTTAGTCTATGGGTTTTTGCCTACCTTAGGTTTTACCATAGTGAGGTTTTGTGAGGTTGACTATCCATGCATACTTACTTTCTTATATTTGAGACTCGCATTCACCTATTATGCCGACAACTTCATCAACTGTTCTACCTTATCTGCTAAAGATCTGATGCGATGTTTTGTTTGAGTATTTACACACTCAAGGGGGAATGTTGTAGTCCTATTGGATTAAGAATGTGATTGTATAAATCCTAGTGTTTCTAGGAGTATCTTGTATATTCCCTTTAGTAGTTTAATTCCTATTAGAGATGTAATTGTATTAGGATAAGGATTCTACCTATCCTACTACTATAAATAAAGGCATAAGAGGGTGATACAACACACACATCAGAATTACATCTCTCTTCTCTCTATGTTGCCATGGGCCCCTTTCCCTCTCTATCCTTTTACAGTTCAATCAAATAGGCCTACAACATTCAAGTTGTGTGAAATTTTGAATTACTTTGTTTAACCATACGATCTCTTTGAAAACAGGATACCATTGTGACACAGTCGGTAAAACTATAGACACACACACACACACACACACACACACACACGGTCTTTGTTCTTCCTCTTTTTTGTCAAATGATAAGAAATTTTATTAAATAGGAATGCAACACACTGTATGAATGAAAATGCAACTCAACGTGCTAAAGAAAAAGGTTTAAGTTCTCGGTCCGAGACTTGATGTAATAAGGAAGAAATGCAACTCAACGTCGAACTTGCATTGATGAAATTTGTGTATACATGTTGAACTTCTGATACGCATCCGTAAACACTGAACAACAAGCAAATGTTTGATCCAAATAGCAGGTCGTTTGATATGCATTCCGTTGTTGTCAATGGCCCACCGAAACAATATACAGATTAAAAAAAGAATGAGCTCATCAAAGTCACACTATTACTCCAAAGAATGAAAAAAATAGTTGGAATAAAATCATGAAATAAGTGGTCTTCTATATTAGGTTTTGGTTTCCCTGATGCGACGTTGTACTCGGAGGGAAGCTGAATGGATCTCCGAACGGGTTTGAAGAGCCCGCGGGCTGCATTGGTTGGGAATATTGAGAATAATACGGGTGAGGTACCACCATCATGTTTTGCTGTTGTTGGTATTGTTGTTGTTGCTGCTGCATGATTTGTTGGTGCTCGTGTTGTTGCTGCGCCATGAGCGCCATTTGCACATTTGTTGGGGGTGCTACGCTGTTGGACATTGCAAATGGGTCCTGTACGGGCTGTTGTGTTTGTTGTTCAAATGGATTTTGCAAGCTCGTCGCACCATAACCATACCCTGCATTCTGGAGTTGTAATTGTCTCCTGGCACCTTCATCTTCATACAAGCTATCAAGTAATAGCTTGTCAAATCCACCAGCCTAAACCAAAACCCAACCCATGCTCATCAATACACAGAAATAATAATATGAATACTAATCTATAAATGTTAGTGAATCGCAGTGGCATGTAGCTCCAGTGGTTATTGTGCATTTACCACCACACTGAAATAAGAGTTAGAACCTCCCTTCCCCCTCTGGCCTCCTTTTTACCACAGAAAAAGTGATTGAGGCCTGAAAACTCATTCGAGCTGGAATTCAGCGACGCAAACAACTGCAATTTAAAATTATGATGCATATACTTAACTACACAACCCTAGATCAAGCTAGATTTCAGATTCTTCAGTTCCGTGATTCAGAGGAAAGTGCGAAAGTGATTATGCATGCATTCCGAACCATGCAGTCGCCAAACTTAACACTGAAAGAAATCAAATCCCAAGCTGTATAGGAGTAACCAGAGCTAGTAGTATACATACCATTGCACTGGAAACGAAAGGGCAGAAAAATAAAATCTTTTTTGGAAAGCAAAGAAGACTAACCAACTTTCTGTCTATGGGCGCTTGGCTGGTATGGTTGCTTGGTGTGGTCACCAGTGCTAGCTCCCAACCGGAAGTCCCAGCAAAATCATTGAAACACGCTCCAGGTTTTTGTTCACTGCCTGCAAATGTATAAATGGTTTGACTTATAAAACAGAATTCATAATGTATCAGCGAACAATCTTCAAATTTGACAATGCAGACATGTGTAAAGATATCATACAACAATACTTACCCTGTGGAACTATGGCAAGAGCTAAGGCATTGCTTTCTTCGATTTCTGCAGCTTTTGGATTAATTTCCCTTAAACCCTAGACAATGAAAAGGAAAAGTACAACATAAATGGCAGATATCCACAAATTGACATCAGAGAAAACAGGTACATGCCCATGTATACAATATCGTACCAGCAGATCTGTGTCATCAGTTGATATCAAAGGAGGAGGTTCGACTTCCTCTTCCTTGGGTTGGGGTTCTTCCTCTGTTTTTGGCAGTGGCTCCTCAACTTTTTCGTCTTGTTTTTCAGGCTCTGGAGGAGGAGGTTCTTCAGGTCTCTGAGGCTGCTCGTCTGTCACCTGGTATTCCTATAGTCGGACAAAATTATCAGAAATTTGAATAAAACACCGATAGTTCAAATGTTTAAATAATCATGAGCCTTTTATATACAGCTTGTAAACAGCAATTAGCATGCAACGAACATGTGAACACACTTATCTAGTACTCAAATGTTCATACTCATATGGATGCTATCTCACCAGTCTCCTGTTAACGGAACCTGACTGAGGCGCCTCCTTTATATACTCCTCCATTGTTGCAAGAAATGACGGTGGGGGCTGTTTAGTGTAGAGAAGAAAAGGTGTGAGAGACTATGCAATGGAATCAACGTAATTATTCTAGTAGAAAGCGAAGTGGAACCTGTCTCAATGTTGGAAACTGAAAAGTTCTAGCAAGATCCAAACCCTTGCAGTATTCATAAAAATCAGCAAGCCCTTCAGCCTGCAGCTCGGTAAAGAAAAAACAGCTTCTGAGGGGATCCTTGTTAATTTAACTCCAGAGAGAGAAAAACAAAGTACCATTGTATACCTGTTGGCCAGCTCTTTTGTAAATATTGAGGGCTTTAACTGCATCGTATCTTGACATATCGAAGAACTGCATGAACATGTAACTCCAGTTTTTATAATTGAAAATTGTAAAAATGGAAAGTATCATATAAACCCGATTCATTTCAGAGAAACGTAAGGGTCCAGTAGAGCCTTACCATGTCAACGAGATTTATAATTCCGTCATTGATGGCACAGTATATTTTAAAGCTCTCTTTCAATATCTACGTGGAGAAGAAACAATGTTGAAACTCAGAAGCAACTTGTAGAAATGCATATATTATATTTTCTCAAGGAACGTAGGATATCTATCATGCATACCAGAGCCAAGGCATATTGTATGAGGTAATTGTTATAAGCTGTCCCCTCGGGCTGCAAAATGAGAGCAAATCAGAAGTTCCGACCTAAAGATAAATGGCTCTTTCAGACTGTTTCGTCAAGGCCATCCTTATTAATGTCATCATGGACCAACTAAAGCATTTGTCTATAAAGAACGAAGCCAGATCAGTACCTGGCAACCCATAAGGCGGAAAAGAAGTTGCTGCAGTGCAGGTAGCTGCTCCAACAGCTCATCAGCACCCAGTGTTCGTGTTCTACTATGGACCTGGTGGAGTTAATGGTATCTTTGTTATACTAAAGTTGATCATGAAGAACAATGTGAGGCAACAAAATTTTAAATCATGAAAATGGCAAACACAAACCACACCTTGGTTGATCCTGGCGACGTTTTTGTCAAACGCTCTGCCTCAATGTCATATTTCAAAACTCGAAAACACTCCAGCCGTTCTTCTAAAAAGAGTGCATATGTCCTCACCCAGGCGGAGCAATCCCAAGCTGCAAGATACAAGTTGGTGTAAGAAGGGACTGTTACAACATCGGCCACATGTTACATAAAATACAATCATGGAAGGCGGAATCATTTTACCAAGGGGACTTGAGTCATCTTTAAAATTGGAAATTTGGAGAATGTGCCCTCTCTGCGAATAGTTCAAAAGCTCCTCTCTGAAGGTAGGATCACCTTCTCTCAATGTTCTATGAATAACTATCAACGTCTTTATGGCAACCTGTAGATTGTAAGTTCACTTATTAAGTGATCTGTTAGATTTTAACAAATAATTTGCTACTGCTACTGATCATACTTTTCCTATATGCATGTCGTACCAATTATGAACGAAAATAAAAACAACGATAACAAGAACAAGAACAAGAAGAGAAGGAATAAAGAAGGACATTACAATCCAACTCCGTGTCTTGGACAATCTCTTGGCCAGCGCATGAATGCAGTATGCTACATCTGCACGTGGACGTGTCACTGAAGTCGCGGAGAAAATCTCTAGGCAGCAGAACAATAAAAACAAAAGTACACCAAAAAATTAAGCAGGAATTAGAATAAGACTGAATTGAGATAGCTCATTAATGTAGTAATGCAAGAACAGAATCATAAATAGCAAGTGCAAGGCCAATGAGCACAATTGCAAATCTGATGACCATCATTTTTACAGGGTGGTGTCATCGACACACTTCTTTTTACCATTCACATGCAATCCGAAAGCCGGAAAAAGCACCACCCTTTTTATAATGCAGATTCAGATCCTCATCATACAACCAAATAATAAATCCACAAATGTAGGAAATCAAATGCAAGAGACAAATCAACTCACTTCGAACGTGACGTTCCTTTGGAGGGTACTCTACGTGACTGGTGGCCTTCACAGTGGCAATATCCAAATCCTTCAAACAACAACAAAAAGTTCAGACATCCCCACATTTCACCAAATATTGCATGTCATCAAAAAAACCAAAATGGCATCACAAAGCTCATCAAAACAAAACCCAGAAATCAAAATCGGTTCTTTTTCGCACCTTGAATTCGCTGTTGACCTTGATGAGGCCAACCTTGGTAGAGTCCTTCAGAGCTCCATAGGCCTTCCTAAAGCTCTGAAAAGTACCCATAAAAAATAAAACTCGTTATATTTATTTATTGGGTTTTTTCAAAAACACCAACACTTTTAATGTGCTGGGGTTAGAGAGATCCAATCATTGATACGATGTCAGAGGAGGAAGAGGAAGAGGAGGAGGAGGAGGAGGAGGAGGAGGAGGAGATGGTGGTGATGAAGGTGGTGGTTGTGAAAGATGATCTTCTTCTTCTTCTTCTTCCGAAACCGAGTGCTTCCAACAACAAAAACAACCAACGACTCTCTCCTCCCCTCCAAAATGTGCGCAACTGGAAGGACTATTATTATATCGGTATTTTTGTAGTTCTGTTCTCTATTTGTTATTCCTGTTTTTTTTCATGTTTGTCGTTGAAATGGATATATTGTTACCGTAGCGTTTTATATTATTTTTCTTCACATTTTGTATTGTATCATTAATCCAAATTTTGTGATAGTATACTTATGTTATATAAGTTGTCTTCTCGTTGATCAAGATTATAATATTTGAGATTTTAATAATATAATTTAAATACCTTTTATTTTTCAAGTTATATAAAGAGGTGTGATATTCACGTATTTCATTTTACTTCTTACACACTTTTTTAATTTTCGGCCGCCTGATCGGATGAATTGAAGAAAATAAATGAACAAAAATTATCAAGAGATGTGTGAGAAGTAAAATGATATGTGTGGATACCACACTCCTGTATAAATGTAATTTTCTTAAGAGAAGCCATGGAAGCATAGGGATGTTAGAAAGTGGCGGTTGGATTGATTTCGAGAACAGAAAATGGCGGGTATCTTTCTTGCTTCGGAAAATACTAAAATACCCATGATGGTTTATGGCTTGGTGGGGAGAGGATGGTGTTTTTGGTCATTTGGATTAATTTAGTACACAACATGGAGATTTTCCTCTGTTTGGAATCAGGTTCTGATTGATTACCGAATGCCAAGTACAGGCTGGTTTAGAGTGTGGAATGGGAGGACAGGCTGGAAGCATAAGGTGAACCACCACCTACACCACCCACTTTAAAATCTGAGCAGAACTTGAAACTAGGGGTGGGCAGGGTGCGGTTCGGTGCGGTTCCACCCCTAAATTGGAACCGGAACCGAAATATATTAACGGTTCGATTCGGTGCGGTTCCACTTAAATTTATGACTAGAACATTACGGTTCGGTCTACACCGGTTCCGATTCGATTCTTACCGGTTTACGGTTCCTAATAATAAATTATTTGAACACCAAATCATTATGCATTCAAATACATCTTCTAAAACTGATTACATAAAGTTGCATACACCACATCTTTTTTAATGCAAATGTCTTTGGTAGTGGCACCAAGTCAACAAAAAGAGACAACTAAAATACATATGCACTGGTCAATCAGTCAACAAACAAAAAAATGATGAAACAAATTGCAAGTTTTCAGACTTCAGAGAGCAAGCAAGAAGCAGCAGCTCCTGTACACAATTTTTCAACCTATTTTTCAACCTATTATACCATGACATGTGTGTGTATATATAATTTATTTATTTATTATTAATAAAACGGTTCGGTTCGGTTCGGCCGGTTCTTGGTCATTCGAAACCGGAATCGGAACCGGTTTGAACGGTTCGGTTCGGTTTTTCACTCAAAGTTGACTTTTCCGGTCAACACGGTTTTTTTCGGTTTTTTTTCTTACGGTTCGATGCGGTTTTGCGGTTTGGCGGTTTTTATGCCCACCCCTACATGAAACAAGTTGACCGCTACATGGTGTTTCAATTTAATTTTACAATGTCATATGTTTATAGGGTCGAAAAAAATATGATTTTGTATTCACAATTAAGTAGGCCTCCCTAATCAACATACAAGAATAAGTTATCCATCAAACGGTTAAGTAAATTGCATTCACAATTTATGAAATCACAACTGGAAATAATCAATTCATATCATAAACATAATCATGATTTCAAAGCCTCCCCTAGCTAAAACGGGTTTAGCCTCTCATGTTCACAACAAAACAAAGAAAACTTAAATTAAACATTAAAAACAAAAGATAGATTACACCTAAAAACGTTCCAACACTTCAACTTGAATGCACAAACGTCCAAGGCTTCTTCTTCTCTTCTTCTTCCTTGCTTTGCTGCGGAACAAGAGTTTAGGGGTGATTTTGGATGGATTTCTGGGTTAAGAATGGATTTAGGTTGGTAGGGGGTGCGGCAAAGGTTTAGGAATGGTGTATGAGTGTTTAGTTGAAGGTATGGAAGTATGGGAATGGTGGAAGAATGGAGGAAAGTTGCGGCAAAGGTTGGTTTCTGTGTGTATGAATGGCAGATTGTGTGAATGGGTGAATATGAATGAATAATCACCCATATGGGTGCGGCAAAGGCTTATGGAAGGCCAATTAAACTTAGCTATTTTGTCCAAGAGCCAAAAAGGTCAGAATCCCCTCAAAATAAGTAAGTAAAATAAGAAATTAAAGGTAATATGAATGTGACTTGCGGCAAGAAAAGAATAGGAAAGGGAATGTGAGTTAAGGCTGAAATTAAGCAAGGATTTAGGATAGAATAGGAAGCTAAGGTGCGGCATTGACTATGGTTAAAAAGGAATGTAATCTTGTGACACAAAATAGGGAATAGGCATTCCCCTTGCATGGCAAGGAAAGGTCGTTTTATGGAAGGCACGACAAGGACAATTAGGATGCAAGGAAGGTTTAGTTTGTGTCCTAAAATGCATAAGAGTACTTCAATGTTGCTGGAACTTAGGGCTTTTAGGATTAGGAAAGGTCAAACCAAAATAGGAAACCTTGGCTTAACTTTCCTACTTCAAGTAGGAAACCTTTTTGACTAGGAATCCTCCTTTGATTAGGAATCCTTCTTTGATTAGGAATCCTAACATCTTTAGGTCTTCAATTTCGTCCATTCCTTTTGCTCCAAGCATATGCTATCCATTCCAAGTCCAATTTTGCTCCAAAATGCAACTTCTTGCTACCTTAGCCATATGAACCTATAAACACACAAAAATAGCTTAAAATACTAAAATAACTATGAACTAACAACATAAATGTAAGAAAACAAGCTAACTAAGTCGCCTAAATATGCTCCTATCAAATTCCCCCACACTTAGCTTTTGCTAGTCCTCGAGCAAAACAAAACAAACTCTAAACCTTCCAACATATACCTCAGGGATTTCCAATGAACAAGACACATTAAAGAACATCACTCCCACGGTTTTTAGCTTCCTTTACACTTGAGCAAACACTTAACCATAGTTACCACTTACTAGTTCACATTTAATCAATTAAAACAACGTTTTGGAAGTAGTAACATGCCTTGGAGAATTCCCTCAATTCCTCACTAGAATGCTCTCTATTTTCAGACAGATTTTCTGACTACACACCCTATACTAGGTATATGTGAGAAGATTGATGTAAACATGTATATTAACACTCACATATGTTATAACAAAGAAAGCATTTTCTGGAATTATGACAATGACATGGATATGATCTCATGAATGGAATGCTACTACTTAGAATGAGAACCAGTGATTCCATATGCTCATACCAATTTCAAACTCCACATATTGAACACATAACATCAAGATAGAAGTTGAGGGTTGTAATGAGGTTAAGGTATTGGCTAACAAAGAAGGGTAAAGGATAAACAAAGGTTCTTAAAACAATTGGAAACAAAGTAATGAAATTGACATTTAAACTCACTTTTGATGGCAGAAATTAACTTTTAAACACAAGGGAAGATTCATGCAACATTTAGGGTAAAATTCAAACTTTTGGACCCTTTCTTCAACATGCAATACTTGTGAGGTCATTCTCACTTATTTTTCAACTCTTTTTCTTTCTTCTTACCACTTTTCTCTTTTCTTTTTCTTTTTCCACGAATTTTTTCTTTATTTTCTTTCTTTGCCGTGCCCTATTACCTTCCCCCACACTTGTTTTCTGCAATATGTTAATCAAAAGGAATTCGTTCTAAGTCATGCTTCACTATCCTTTAAGAACAAGGGTATGGAAAGTCCTAATCTAGGCTAGGTGAGGATAATGGGGCTAACAAAGAAAATAGGCTTGAAAAGGCTCAAAAGGGGTAATCCTACAATACATATGCAAAAGGGTTAGGCTTTTTGGATTTGGTTTAACTAACAACTTCATCTTATTGTATGTTATGCAATCAATATCATGCTTTGAATGAAATGGGCATGAGTTCTAGTATTTGGAACTATAATGATGAAATGCATTCTAAGTAGAAACCAAGCAAAGAATGATGAGATCATGCAATGACTTTAGAAAACAAGAAATCACAGATTTATACTCTCCAAAGAACGTTTTAGGCTCGAGTCTCTCAGGGATGTAGCTTTAGTTTGAGTTCCTTCCTTCAAGCATGTTACAAAAACTGATTTTCTCTTTGTGATTACGTGTAAATTCGTAAACTATAATTATAACCAAGCATAAACCAAAGAGTAAATCAACTTCCATCCATGTTTGTAACTTTCTTTAATAGTCATGCAATTAAAAACCAAATCCTCATCATTGTGTTGGAAGGTACCCTAAGACACAAACAAACACACAAAAACAACTTAAAAACAACTCTTTTTGGGTTTTCAAAGAAATTTTTTTGTAAAATTTTCGTATTTTCTGATCCAAACACATAAAAACACTTCAAAACACACTAAAAACCCTTAAAAATAGTGAGAAACAACATTAAAAGTGATAGGTGATTAAATCCCATGAAAATCAAGCAAAAATAGCTTGTTTACCCCCTCCCCCCCACAATCAAACATTGTCCTCAATGTTTCACACAAAGACTCACATTCAAACAAACAACATAAACTAACTAGCATGACGAAATAAAAGCAATAAAGAGAGAGAGAGAGTTAGGAACGCAAATCTGATTGTTTGGAATGAATTGTTGGATTGCCTAAGTCCTCTCTAGTTGAATGCATGGGTTGCTTCCCAAGAAGCGCTTGCTTTAACGTCTTGTAGCTGGACAAACTCTCTTCTTAGCATCAATTAGAACCCACGGCATGGAGGTTTACCTCCTCCATAATCTGCCCTTCAACACTTTCATAATATGGCTTCAAAGGATGCCCATTCACCTTGAATTCTTGGCCATTCCTCAAGCTTTGGATTTGAACTGCACCATATGGAAAAACATTAGTAATAACAAAGGGGCCAATCCACT